TTTAATTCACAAACAATTTATTTTGTACATACATACACTCCGCACACACATACATTAATAAGTATTATTGAATGTGAAGCAAATTTAAACAGTCATTGCAGAATCACTAAGATTCTAAAAACAATGATGTCTGATATGTCGTAGAACAACTAGTACATATGATAAAACTTCTCAATATCTATTTCCATTTAAAGTGCTATCATAAAAATAAAATCGTAGTAGTGTGCTATTGATTATACCACATCAAATATTGACACGAAGTTGAGTTTGAAAATGAGTTTTGTTGTAGGTCGTTGAACTTGTCTGTGCAACTGCCTTCATATAGGTAATATAAAAGGAATTATAGCTTCCAATACAAAAAATTCGTGGTATCTTCATAACGCGAAAATCATTGTAAATTTAAAAGAGTCTGTTAAAGCCGTCGTATTACTATTAAAAAATAATGAAACTTTATCCTCTTCTACTTTTCTCACAAATCTACCACTTACGAGAAGAACGATAGAAACTAATAGCACGAACACCCTGTATATTTCTACTAATATACCATACTAATTTTGCTGAAGATGTGTAATTAAAATCATATAACACTTTCTGCACAAATACAATAAGCGTCCTAACACTTATACTTCCTCGACGAAGATATTCATCGTGACTCTTTTAATTTTTTCCTGATTTCATCGATATTGATTGACGTACATACATCACGGCGCATAAACCTCTCCAGTTTTTCCTTGGTATTGCGAAATTTTCGAGCACTTAGGTCTTGCCGTACATTTATTCTTCGCGCGTTCAAATCGATACCGACGTCCCGTCAGACGAACGAGCTGCCAGCGTACTCATTAACGTCCGCGTTAATCAAGCCGTACGCGCGCTAGGTTCAGCAAACGTCCGTGAATATTACGGCCTGTGTTTCGTTACAGTTAATGTAACCGCGAGAGTAGGAGCTTCAAATATTTTAATTACTCCGGCATGGTCCGCGGTTAATTGCAATTGCAACCAGCAAGGAGGCCTAGTGACTCGGCGATCATCTTAATTTGCATCCTCCGTGAGCTGCGGCTGTCAAGGTCGTTATTTTTAAATCCACGCGCAGTCCTACGGCCAGAGTGCTTTCTCGAAGGCTGCGCTTCTTCTGAAATGAACGACACGACATTAATCTTCATTATACGTCCACTTACTCGACAACTTTTCGCAGAATCGCGTAAAACATTTCAGTACGAAATGTTCCTTCCACTTGTGTATCAATGGTTTTAAACAAAAATTGTTTCCTACCTCGCCTCTTCTCATTCGGACAATTTCATTCTCATTTGATGGAAATAGGAAAAGGATCTTGTAGAGAAATTCATAACGAGTAGAATTCAAGGTTCGCCGTCTAATGGAGCGTGT